TAAACCCGAGCACCAAACTGTTAGAAACTCAAAAGACACCAGGTATTACAACTTCCATAAATTACAGCTGAGCTCAAATGGCCCGTACAAGCAATTGTACAGTGATAAAGCCTAAGTGGATGATATTTAAACAGATATTTGATTTATTGCAGAATTTTACATCATGCTAGAATTCAAATGACAATTTACAAGTCTGGAGGAGAGAAATCCCTGTCCCATGCAAAGTGCTGTTTGCAGAGCTCTGCCAGAACAGCTCAGTATTGGGTCTTTAAGGAAGGAATCCTTCCCTCTCGTACTCTCAGGACACAGCCTTGGAAGCCAATCTATAAAACCTGACATTTAAAAGGAGAATGAACAAGCTGCTGCTTCATCCCCAGGTAGGAAATAACATCCTCGGTTTTCTGTGAGTGAAGTCTCACAAAACTCATTTTTGTAGTTTCTGTCACCAAAGAAAGCTCTGATGGCAAGTTTGAGGGTCTGTCTCACAAGCTCTTTAGAGATGCACAAACTGTGAAGTGTAGAACAGACAACAGTGGCTGTCCACAATTCTACTGCAGTGTGCCAGGGGAGGCTCAGGTTGGACATCAGGAGGAATTTATTCCTGGAAAGGGTGGTCAGGCCTTGGCAGGGGCTGCCCAGGGAGGTGGTGGAGTCCCCACCCCTGGAGGTGTCCAAGGAATGACTGGAAGTGGCACTCAGTGCTCTGGGCTGGGTGACAAGGCAGGGATTGGGCACAGGGGGGACTCCATGGGCTGGGAGGGCTTTTCCAACCTTAACAATTCTGTGATTTTATGGAAATAAGAGCTGAATTTGCAGAGGAGGAATCGTGGGATGCACACTGTTGACAGAAACTTCAACGCCCGAACGGGTCACAAATGAGACCAGGCAACCCTCCTGTTCCCCAGCAATGAGCAACTACAGATAATTCTCTGTGGACTAAAAAAAAATCCATCAAGGAAAAGCTTTATCAAAGACAAAACATGGCAGGCCTCCAGCAGGATCCAGGAAAACCTCTCAGCCAATAGCTGGAGCAGCAGTAATTGTTCTAAATCTATCAATAAGGCTGAGCTGCTCCTTCATTGACTGCAAACACCAATTTCTTTCATGGAGGATTATAAGTTGATGCTCATGGTCTCTCTAACACCATTAGGGTGATAAACAGTTGAAACTACATCAGGATCTGACACGTAGATCAATTCTGGGTCCATAAAGAATCTACACAAGAGGTTCCTGGACAGGGATTTACTGCCCCCAGTTTTTATTCTCTCCCGCTGCTAAAATTACTTCTGTCAAGTACTTACAAGAGTACAGGGGGAAGAAAAAAGCAAAAAGAATTAATTTTTCATGTGCTGCTGGAACAGCCTTTGGAAATTTCGGGAGTTTCTGAGGCAAATATGTTGCTGCATTGCAAATGATGCTGAACAGCAGGTGGGATTCAGCTAAATACTGATCCAGCCTCACGAGCCACTCACCAGCCAGAGACAGCAATTTAAGCACCAAACTAAGCTGTCAGGATTTTCTCCAAGGGCAGTCACAGGCTTCACGTTACCAGTGCCAAATTATATTAGACATTTAATTTTAAACCTCAGGTACTTAAATGTAAAACCTTACCACAGTAATAGTCATAAAGCAGTGGGGCATTCCATTTCAGAGAATGGATTTTTCTATTTTTCCCCTTTAATTTAACCAGCACCTCCTGTTTTGTGGCTCTGCCCACTACAAAGTAATTTATCTAATTAGGAGATGTTCACAGCTGCTTGAAAGACAGAAGCCCCAGGAAACCAAAGGTCTGGTTTGGAAGACTTTGAAAAGTTCTCCGGAGCCACACAAAGTATTAATTTAATGTGAAAAAAAGGTGCAGAGAAAAATTGAATCCCAATATGTTATTTTGTCTACAATAAAACCATGTGACAATAAGCAGGATATCCTCCAGTACATTGGCATTTGAATTCCAAAAGATGCTTAGCTTCTCACTGTACCTGCTGCTTTCACAGTATTAGCTTTTTATGACTAAAATTCAAAAATCTTTTAATGGAGAAAAAAACCCCTGAAATTAAAAAGGGTTTTTCATGCGTCAACTTGCCAACATAAAGGACATTTCTGAGCTTATCCAAAGATGATACACTGAGAGCAATCAATTATTCTTGAGGTTCTGCAGCAGCTTTATCATAATACTTCTGATTCTGCTGACCCTTAGTTGCCTAAAACTCATTGTTAGTCCAACTTTCCCTCTTATTTATAAAGCAATATTTTTTTAATTTTTTTCTTTTTTTTTAATATTGGAACGTCTGAAGAAATTATTCCAGCCAGGTTACTCCTGGGAATATATACCCTCCAGTCACCTGCAATTTTAAAATAAATATTTCCTAGGTAATTCTAGCTGTTGTCTCTCCTGAGCCACGAGTGCCAAGTCAGAAGAAGGCACTGCACATCCGTGGGAGCGCAGGGCTGGGCAGGTTCCCTTCACCAGGGACTGGGAACCAGCTCCAGCTCAGCAGCAGGAGCAAAGGGCAAGTCCAGCAAACACAGCATTACCAAAAGAAGGGGCTGGGAAAAGGCAGGAATTTAGGTACTGTTTCTACTTTCTGACATTCTGTTTCCACGCCGCTTGTGGGAATTCAGTGAATTCTGCATTTGGAAGGCTTTTGGGAATTCAGTGAATTCTGCATTTGGAAGGCTTTTGGGAATTCAGTGAATTCTGCATTTGGAAGGCTTTTCTCTGCTGCAGCCTCGGCTGCTCCCTCTGGCACGGGGACAGCTCTGCTCCCCTGCCCACACAGCACTGCTCACTGCACTGGGGCCTCTGCCTGCTCTCCTGCCAGAGCCAGCACCCAGCACTGCCCAGCCTGCCTTTGAGAACCTGCAGGAGAAAAGAAGGGTGCAAAAAAAAAAAAAAAATAGGCGCAAACTTTGGCCCAACCTTTCAGAAGGGAGGCAGAATTGGGCTGGATTAAAATGACAAAGCAGCTCAGGAAAGAAAATATAAAGTCTTAACTGGGAAAGCAGTCCAGCACCCAAGCAGGGCAGTGCTGCCTGCCCTGCTCCAGAGAAGCAGGAGAGCTGGGTGGACACATTTAATTGATTTTACAGCATCTCTGCCTTTCAGTGAGGCTCCAATCAAGCCTGCTTGCTTTAGAAAATTCTTAGCCAAAATCTGGACTATTTTAATGCAGGTGTCACTCTCCTGAAGGTGCTGCCCACATGTTTACAGCTCCAGAAATGCACGTGCTTCAGTAACTAGGACTTGGATAGCTAATGCCACTCAGAAACAAGGTAATGGTGACTTTAACCCCTCTGTTCTCATAAGGTGGCACTGAAAAGCTGTTCAGAGCTGCTTAAAAACCCAAAGACACAATCAGGGGTATACCCAGATTCAAACCTTACACGGACACACATTACACACTGGCTCAGGTTGCCCAGAGAAGCTGTGGCTGCCCCATCCCTGGAAGTGTCCAAGGCCAGGCTGGATAAGGCCTTGAGCACCCTGGGACAGTGGGAGGTGTCCCTGCCCATGGCAGTGGGGTTGGGACTAGATGGTCCTGAAGGTCCATTCCAAGCCCCTAATATTCTATGATTCTAGAATATATCTATACCTATAGGTATGTATGTATGGGACATGTGCAATAGTTCTCATATCCCCCTAACTCTCCTCATTTTAGAGACAGCCATCAGAACCAGCTTTCCTTCCCTTCCTCCTGTCTTATTCACATTTCTCCCTGCTATCCATATTCTCACTTTCTTCTCAGGTTTTTTTTCCACACACTCTTCTCCTTTTCCCCATTTCCTGAACTTTCCAAGGTTTCCTCACGTGCCCTTTAAACCCCACACTCCCAGACACGTGTGCCCTGCTGGTATGAACCATCTCTGCTGCATACCTGAGCCCCAGCCCACCCACCTGGCTGCTCCAAGGATGCTCTAATTTGCATCAGGTCACCCACAGGTGACCAGCATTACAGCCCTGCCCTTCCTAGACACTCCTTCCAGGCCAGAGACACCAAATATCACATCTGCCCTTCAAAAAGCAAACACCCCTGTCTCACTGCTGCAGTGTAGTAATTCCAAAGCACCATCTGGAACAGTGTTTGCTCCTTTTAATACTTTCAAATGCTCCACTGAGGAAACACTACAGCTATGCCAGAAGAATGCAGGGATTAGAGTGAGAGCACAGCAGAGAAAGGACACGTGGACGAAAATATCTGGAGGATCATTTACTGCTAATACCTACTTAATACTAACACCTACTGCTAATGCCCACCACAGGGTAAGGAAACCAGAATATCAAGCCAACAACATACAATATGTGGCTGCCCCATCCCTGGAAGTGCCCAAGGCCAGGTTGGACGGGGCTTGGAGCAACCTGGGCTGGTGGAAGGTGTCCCTGCCCATGGCAGGGGGTGGAATGAGATGATCTTCAAGTTCCCTTCCCACCCAAACCCTTCTAATGATTCTCTTTTCAACAGGAAGAGCTAACGTAATTATAATAATGCTTAATTTTAATTTCAGGTGCATTATCACAGAATCCCAGAATGGTTTGGGTGGGAAGGGACCTTAAAGCTCATCCAGTCCCAACCCCTGCCATGGGCAGGGACACCTTCCACTAGCTCAGGTTGCTCCAAGCCCCGTCCAACCTGGCCTTGGACACTTCCAGGGATCCAGGGGCAGCCACAGCTTCTCTGGGCAACCTGTACCAGGGCCTCCCCATCCTCACAGGGAAGAATTTCTTCCCCATATCCCAACTAACCCCGCTCTCCGTCTGTTTAAAGCCTTTCCCCCTTGTCCTGTCCGTCCCTGGCCTTGAAAAAAAAAGCACTGCATCGATCCATTGTCTTTTATCTCCTTTCTCTTTCCCCCTCACATGCTCCAGTCTGACCCCCAGCAGCGCAGCGGCACCAACACCGGGCTGCAGCAGTGCATTCTTTCCTTTGGAAAAAAAAAAGCAAAGCACCAAACTCCCCCTTCACCCCAAAGCACGTATTCCCCCCCAGCTCCAGGTTTCTTACCACTGCTAATGCCAGAGTTTGCAATGACTGTTGCCTCGCTCCACTGATCTGCACTGGAGACCGAGTAGGAGCGCTGGTGCAACCCGTCCGGGCGGCTGTTGAAGGACACCAGACTGATCCCACTGGCCATCTGAGACACAGATGTGCTAGTAGTCACGTTCCCTAGGCACAAATGGAAAACAAATCGTGTCAATAGAGAACACAGCACGGATTTGCACGAGGATGGACGGCTGTATCGTAACAGAGCACACGCAGAGGTTACGCCACAAAACCCTCCCTGAAGCCTCGGCACAACGGCCCTGCCAGCAGGGCTTTGGGCCACCACCCACTTCAGCAACCTAGCTCAGAACCTCTGACTAAAGAGCCTGAATTTTCACCATTTCAGCTCGTTCTGTTCATTGAAAACACGATCTTTCACCACCCTGCCACCGGTCACTTTCTGTAGAGGTTCTCTGCTTGTTACGAAAGAAACTGTGCACAAAAAATGAATTTATTCCTGAAAACCACTCTTCATACAAGCAACTGAGATGGGACAACCAAGCCAACTCAAAGAGTTTAAAAGAATCTACCTCTAAATAATATCTCACACAGTCTTTCCCCAAAGTGAAACCAAGGGGAGAAAATGACTCCTAGAATTGTGAGACCAAGCAAAAACTTATTTGGGCTTTTAATCTTAAACCAGTACCAGGACAAAAAGCACACACTGGACTGACTGCAGGTGTCATTCCTGTGTCCTGCCCCACAGAACACACCCATCACAACTCCACCTGAAGGCCTGTGACACAAAAGGGGAGACACAAAGAACAGCCTTTACCCAATAAACACTGGAAATAATTCTGTGTTTTCACCATCACTGAGGAAGAGGACCTTAAAATGCTGGGAGGTGTGTGTGAGGGGGAGCGACAGGGACAGGTTTCCCACCACAAAACGGGAGAAGAGTGACTAAATTTTAGAGCAGAAACAATTAAAACCTTTCCAGAAACTCAGGTTCCTGATGGTCTTGCTCACAACCTGCTATGGGCCAAAGTCTGCTCTCCACAGTTTTGGCTTCTGAGCACATTTTACTCCATTCCCAGCACAGGGCTACAAAGAATTCACAGTGCTAGTTTCCTTCCTCATGGCAGGCTCTCAAAAGGTGCCCCACAGGTCTTCTGTGGATTGAAAAATACTCTTAAAAAACACATGTAGAAGGAAAGGAACAGACACAATTTTATAACATACCCTCGCACTTTGCATTTCCATTGCACCTTCTACTGATGAGTTCAGAAAAATTAATGAATTAATTTTCAATGCTCCTGTGAGGTTGTTAATTATCTGCTATCATTTCCCCCATTTTTCAGAGGTTAAATGACCCAGGGCCACAAAGGAAGATTGTGGCAGACTTGAAAATAAAACCCAGATCTCCTGACTCCCAGTTCTATCATTATGTCTTTTCCCAGAGCAGCCTTTGGGAAGACAGCAGAGCTTAGTGAACTACTTTGTGTTTATTAGAGTTGGCATAATTGTCCCTTTCTCTCCTCCCCTTTCCCAAGACTAAATCTCATCCTTAGTCCTTAACACAGATCCATCACGGTATCTGTGTCTTCAGTGTACTTACTCAGCCTCGAGAACTTCTGTGGGGCACCTCTGATATGAAATACAGACAGAAAAACCAATTTGTTTAACTATGCAAAGTCTGAAGTGGATTTTGGAATCATGCTGGGACCTCCCAAGGCATGAGAGTCCAGAGCAGAGGATTGAATTGTAGCTCAGCACCTTAAAATCACAATAGAAAATGGAAACAGGAGTTGACAGTACATATATTTTGAGGTCTCCTAAAAGAACTATCTCCTTCCAAAACCTCCATGATGCTGCTGATGCTCACTTCGAAATGCCCTTCTCCTCTGTTTTTTAAAACCCAGAAAAAGTATAAACATTATTAAATTATTTTGATGATCCACCAAACGAAAGGGAGTGGCTGATGGGAATGACAGAGCTTGAGACCAAATGCACTCTAGAAACTCGAGATTTAGGCCAACACAGACACAACATAAGCAGTGATATTTCTACACTGACATCTTTCACCCAGTCCACAAGCTTTGGAACACGAGCCTCCACGTTCTAACCATGATGCAAAAGCAAAACCTTAAAACGAGAATATCTTCACTTCTACACCACCACGTCAGCACCAAAAGCTTTACTTTCACCTCAATCCCATCTGATGAAACTCCAACCTCACCTTATGATATGAACCTGTTGAGAAGTGACTTATTCTGCAAAACAAAGAAGGTTTTTCCCTTCACCTTTCTGAAGGGTGAGGGCTGCAAGCACAAAATAGGTGCCAAGAGCCATCACGTAACACTTTACTGAGCAGAGATGCCACTAACTCAGATCTGTCCTTCCTACTGCCATAGTCTGGTAGCCCTGCAACCCTTCCAATAACATTTATTCAGGATTAATTTCCACTTTGTCCAGGTGCTGGGGGGGTGTATATTTTCATGATGTATCAGACCCTCAAGCCAGAATCCATGGGTAGATATCAGAAGGGCCAGATAACAGAAAACAGTGTGTCCTTTCCTCTCCCTCTCAATGTGTTCAGCTCTAGCCCAAACTCATTATTTACAGCCTTATTTAAACGTCATTATTTCCCTATCCGTTGCTAATTTTCCCACCAAGTGCAGCAGGCCCAGGACACGTATCCCACCACCCCACCAGGCACCAGCGCTTTACCCCAGAGCAAGGAGCACTGAAAGGCAGCCCCTGCTCCTGCACACGGTGCATTCCACACACAGCTCCTACAGCACAGTCCCACAGCTCTTCCCACCTACAACAGGCAAACCCCAACCCAGACCTGGCAAATGCCCTTTCATTTTCCTCACAGATAAAGCCTCACCAGCAGAGTTGTTCAAGAGAGGAGGCCAGCAGCACCCAGTGAAAATTCTGAGGGTGTCCCTGCCCAGGGACTAGAGGAGATTTAAAGGTCCCTCCAACCCAAACCACTCTGGGATTCGATGATTCTGTGAAAAGGGAAGCCTGTATATTGGGTTAGGCACATGAAGCCTTTACATTGAGCTCCTGCAAGATGCATCCTGCATCTCTTGCCCCCCACCTGTACATCTGTACGCACATAAGCACACTTCTCTCTCACAGACAGACAGACACCCATCTTCACATTAACCCCAAACTCCTGGACAGTTACCTGGCCCATTCTGGAGCTGTGAAAGAGTTGTCTCTTCAGATACATCCTAAATGCATCAGCTGGTTGCTTAAGTTGATTAGCAGGGGGCAGTTAAATTACTATGCTAATCCATGTATTCTCAGCACTGTTTCCTTGATATGGATATGTGTATATGCTTACTGGGAAGCCTTGATTAGTTCAAGCTTCAATGTGTCAAAGGCTCCAGATTCTTTCCAAAGAATAATTTTAGCTGTACTCACATCCCTAAAGTGTGGGAGCTGATTTGAAAAGGTACTTACCTCTACCATATGCTATTTTTCTTTAAACAATTTGCATTTCAAAGGGAATATGGCATTTATATTTGAATGAATATCAGTATGTTGCCAGAACTTGTCTCAAATGAGCAAAAAAAAAGATGCTGGTCTCCTATTGAACAAAAATGTTTTCATCTACCAAAGGAGCATCAAAGGAAGAATTCCTCTTTCTAGCTCTAGACAGCTTTATTAAAACTATCTTTTCTGATGTTATAAAACACCCCGTTACGATCGCGCTTACAAAACGTTCAGACAATTAAGTTCCACAAAACCCTTCCAAATTAAGATTCAAGGTAATTTCCAGGTTTGGCCGATGCTCAGCAGAAGTGCCTCTAAGAAGAGTGAGCGTGCTCACACAAAATCCAATTTATATCCCCATTTATTCAGCATAAATCACTGCAAAGAGCAAGTGAAGGCGAGACTGGGCACGAGAGGAATTAAGCCATGTACGTAGGTAATGAGAGGCTGAGAGAAACACACACCCTGGGGGCAGAACGTGTCTCCATTTCCCAAAAAGAAGGGAGCCACTTCGGCTCTTCCTACTCAGTTGTTGCGGATTTGCAAAACAACAAACCATAAATGCAAGGTCAGGTTACAGTCCTTAGAAATGCTATGAAAATAACAAAGATTTATACAAACACAGGGGACAAGATGTTAAGGGTGGATCTGGTCAGTAAAAGACAAAAGATAAGGCTCTATTACAAAAATTAATTAAATTAATAAAATAAGCAGTTGAGGTTGATATAAATGTTCTCTTACATAAACGCTGTAACTTGCCCCACAAACCAGAAACCGCTCAGAGTTTTTGTCACGCTGCTCCTGCAATGGAGCAGTTCTGTGGGCAGCATGGCAGCAATCCCTCTTTTGCTGTTTTTTAACTCAGCAGTACAGTGAATCACCGCTGGGCAGCACAGGTGACCTCAACAGACGCATCACTTCAAGCCTTCACCAAGTCCAGCAGCCAGTAATCACACCTGCACAGCCAACACAGCTCTCATGCACCCAGAAGTGAGATACAAGTGACTTCGACACACAAGTGATCTTCATTTCCCACTGCAGACACAGCTGTGATTCCTCCCAAACAAATCAGCTGCAAGAACTTACATTCCTGAGTGCAACTAATATACTCATGGATTTATGAGACCAGCAGACACTGCAAGAGTCATGAAGCAGAACTGCATTTTTCCACGAAGCAGCGGCGTGCGAGACCCGCAGAGAGGCTGCACAGAAAGACTGAATCAGACAAACTGCAGCCCACTGCTATGCTTTCTCCATGGTCATGTTTTATTTGTGCCAAGCTCTTCATGTTCACAACGAGTTTCTCTCCCGAAAAAAAAAAAAGGAAGAAAAAGGGAAATAAACCTCTTAAGGCCAGAGGGCTGCGCTCACCAGCTGTTAGAACTAATGAAAAATACATTAGAGTTGTGGGTCAGGAAATCCTGACTCTTGATATCAGAGGGTTAATTGTTTCAAATCATGTTGGGTCAATCTGTGTTGCAGGAATTCTGCCTATTCTTGAAATGCCCTCTAATTCAGCAAAAGGCACTGTCAAGTAGGTTACGTGGGCTGTTGGATGCCCTTTCCCAACCCACACCCAGCACTGCTCCCTCGAGCCTTTTCAGGCATTAGGGTGTAGAGAAAGGGAGAGGCCCCCTTGCTGGCTGCAAAAGGATGGGAAGCATTCCCTTCCC